GTGCTTTTGCTTTCGCACTGAAACACACAGCGTCTCCCTGACATGGCTGCATCAACACTACTGCTGTTCCTGAAACCACGCCTTCTTTCTTTGCATGCACATTTGTGCAGCATTATGCTAATATTTCCACATATTGATGTAGATATGTGGGGGCGTGTTAGAACGAGCCGTTTTAGGTAGGCGTGGCTGACTCTTAACTTTTATAAAGAATATCTCTTTGGATTTGAGACTTTAGTCTTTGCAACTTTACAGATCTTCTTTATGCACCAAGAGCTTGTAACACTCCAAAGAGAAAGGAAAACTTGAAATCGCATCATATATCACCCCTTTAAGCTGGTTCAAGATGTGTTGTCAGCAAAGGTAGTCACTACTGTCATACAAAAGTAAAGCTACTGAATGCTTCTTAAACTCTTTAAATGAGAACCCATATTGTGGCATCGCACACAATACTGCTGTTTTCCATGGGGGAAGTACCATGGTGAATTTTTATAAGGGTATACCAACAAAATAACTTAAAAAGAAGAGACTGTTTAAAACTTTCTAAAGTTTCGAATTTCAAAACTTTTAACCCTCTGGTGAGCTTGTACTTGGAGGGTGCAGGGCTTTAGTTGTGCGAGCGCCAGATGGGGTTTCAATCAAATGGTGTATTGTACCATGCTTTACCCTATTGTTCTCCATTAGCGGCCAGGCATGGCCGCCTGCCCTGCCTCACACCACTGCTGCAGGATAGGAAAGCATTCAATCTATCGTCATACGGTGCGAAAAGTGCAGCAGTAATCCAAGAACAGTAAAGCATGGGTGATATTGTAGCGTGCAATGCAGCTAACAACCGACGTGGAACAACTGTGAGAATCCAAACAGAACGGTTTTGCTGTCCGTCTTCTCAGTCAAAATGCATGAAAAACCATCGATTAAACACCGATAATGAGAAAAAGCCCAAACCTTCATGTCTAACGTTAACTTCTGAAGCCCGGCGTCGGATGAGCTATTTTCTTCTGCTTTTTCTTTGGAGGAAAACATTTTTCTTCGTTTCTGTGCACCGTTCTGTTGGACAGTCGGGTTGACATACTAATTATTCTTTCGGGATCAAACATATGCCATTAACAGTTGCAAACAAACAATGAGACATTAAATACTCAAAATCACGTCTCCGTGGATGATCTTACGCTGAAGCAGTCCGCTTTTTGTTCCTCTTCCTCATCCTCTTCATTTTCGTAGTCAAAAATTCGCTGCGCTTTTGTTTTCCTTCTCATTTCTCTCCCATTATTTTATTTGCAAGCGAGAAAAAAGGCTCCACTCTGCATAATCAATGCAGTTCCGCCGTATTAGACTAAAATAACACTATCTCTCTTTCTCAGATTTAGACGCTGCACATCTACTACAGATGCCGACAACTATGTTCCTTTCGATTATTCTACTTCAGCTCAAATACTTGAGTGAATCCATGGAGGGACAGCACTTTACCGAGAAATGACAGGGAACAAATTTGAGGCTAACGCACCGTAGCGTAACGCGGCACGAACTCGAGTCCCGTCTAGAGTCAATCTAATGGCAATCTTCACAACAACAGGAAATCCTCTGCAAAACATTTACCATGGTAACCCTAGTTTCCGCCAAAATACCCTAGTTACTACTGTAAAATCGTGATAAATCTATATAGATAGTCTTTCAAACAGTTCAAGAAGATTTCAGAATCTTCATTTATTTTATTGATGGCACTGGTCATCCAAGTTACCTTAGTTTTTAACTGCAGTAATTATGTCGACAGAAACTGTTACCAAGGTAAATATTTATAAGGGGCGCTCTTTTAACTCATGTTTCCCGACCCGTCGATATGTTAAATATTGTATACGCGCTCATAAACAATAAGGCATTTCCAACTACAGTCTTATTTACACGTTTAGAGTATTTAGCCTGGCAATTGAGAAAATTAGATTCGTCATGCAGTTTTAAGGAAGGATTCCCGAGGCGTTAATAAAATAATGACTAAGATTCTTGCACTGTTTATAGGAGATCCTGTATTATGCTGTATTAATTTCAAGAGCAACATTATTTTTGTTCCTGATCTTTGTTTCGTATAAAGTGACACTTTCAGGTCAGGTCAATTAAAGCTTTTTGCTTTTGTAATTATTGGAAACATACAGTCACACTAGGATGTTTCTTAAAATTAGTTTTCAAAGTCTTAAAGTACATGTGAATACATTGATTGATAAGGTGAAGAAACAGTAACACTATTTAGGTTAAATGCAGTTACACGGTCTCATTTCCAAGTATCAAAGTGTTTTCTAGCATAAAGACATTCTCATAAATGTTTCTGATCCAGTGATAACCAAATGGTTAACCAAAAGCTTGACGTCTTGAATGGCAATAGATGTTTACAGCCTACAAATTACATTTCCATTTCCAAGATTTTTCTTCAGTAATCAATTGTTATGCTTTCGTATTTTCATCAGTAACTCATGACTCATGCAGCATTTTTATGAACAACAGTTTGTTTTTGTTATAAGGCAATGAACTATGGTCTGTTTAAGAGTTCATACTTGAACATTCAATGTGGCCTCAAAAGAAATTGCAATCCAAAGTTAACGGCTCTTATATGTAATTCTCACTGTGTGTGTGTGTGTGTGTGTGTGTGTGTGATGTGTGTGTGTGTGTGTGTGTGTGTGTGTGTGTGTGTATATTTATTTATTTTTTACCGGAATTTCTCAATGCATATCTCAGAGAGAATGTATGAATGTGAATGTATGAATATGAATGTGAGAGAAAGGCATTCAGTTCTTTTCCCCACTGCCTCTCAATGCTGACTGACGCAAGCATCTGACACAAAGAAGTATGTTTGATGTAGTTATACATTAAACACCTTTAAAGATCAAAATAGCTGTAATTCAAAATCCATCAAGCAAAAAAGATCATGTTATGAGGAGGGAAGTTATAATCTTGAACCCTGTTATAGACCACAAGTGACTTCTGGTCTCTGTCAAACACATTCAATGAGCGCCATCTAGTGTAAATAAACGTATTTTACAGTAAAGTATTTTATTGAGTCAAGTTGTTCAAAGTGATATCATTTAATACAATGAATTGACTACAATATACATAAGTTACTTTTATCTGTTTGCTATTTTGTGTGCCTCATAATTGTTTTAATGTTTAAAAGTTGATGAGGCTATTTATTTAATGGCTGGTGACACGTGACAACTTAAAGGCACAATATGTAATTTTCGCCGCTGGAGGGCGCGTATTCAAAACAAACAAAGAGACAAAGGCGTAGTTAGATGACACCGTGACTGGGTGTGGAATCATGGGAGTTGTCGTCTTCATCCCCACAGCCGATGCAATCCGACGGGACTCGGGCAGAAATCATGTTCATGGATGAGCTAATGATTTATTAACGTAGTAGAATGAAGCAGGGTGAGGCTGAAAGCCGTCGAAGCGAAACACAAGTCAGCAAAATATATAGCACTGTTCTAGTGGTTTTTGGATATTTTAATAAAAAAAATCTTACATATTGTGCCTTTAATGTAGAATTAAGAGTCAGTGAGGTCAAAAAAATGTATAAATGCACGGTATGCATTTTTCTAAACGTCAGCAGAAATGTAGCCTAGACTTTATGTGCCAATTGACAATTTACTTTCAAAGATAAGCCTGCGCTAAGAAATAGTCATTTGAGTAAAAAGTGTGACAACTAGCCCTATATGATAATCCATTACTTTTTTTGGCATAAAGCATGATCCATTTATTAATCTCGGTATCAGAATATTTCTGGCCAGTGTTTAAGTGCTTTCAGTACGGTACCACTTTAGAATATTGCAAATTTAGCCAATATTGTATTCCCATGGAGAGCATCAAGAAAATGAAGAAAAATAAAGGCGGGACAACTAATAGGAGTTAAATAGACAGATACCAGTTTTATGTTATTAAACAAAAATCTTATTTATAGGTTTGTATACAACCGGGACTTTTGATGAATGATCTCATCCCTTATGTGTACTAGAATATTCTACGCGTGCGCAGTGGCCGCATGTTTCAGCACCTCAGTTTCGGCCAAGTTGTCGGCAAGAGGAAATTCTGCAAGTCATGGTGGGCCATTCAACGCGAGAGGGGAGTGATAACCATATAGAGATCTAAGGGAATAAGTGCGTAGTTAGTTAGAAGTGACTGATGACAGTGGCTGTGTATGCATATAGAGGCATTCGGAGTCATTTGTCAGTAAACTCTTCCTGAGTAAGTATGAAAACGGACTATTTTGATGCTATGCTAGCGGGCTAAGTTAGCTATAGCTTTCGAAATTGCGAATGTGGGAGCGTGTGTCAGTGCGGCTGCTGCAAATGCACAAGACAGCTTTGCTTGAACTGAAGGAACCGTTTCGAACGGTTAGGTTTAACCAATTGACAAGAACTGGGTAATTAATAAAAGTTGTTATTAGTAATTCAATGTCCCCGGTAGAACCCCGTCAGGGCCCGCCTCCTTATTGGCTGTAGCGCGGAGAAAAAATGAGTGATGGATATCTTGGCCAATCAGAGGCTGTTGCGCCACTTGTTGCTAACTGCTGGGCTATGATAGCGGAAGTGTAAGAGGTCAATACTTCACAGTGCTTGACCAAGTAAATTGTTTTTAGATGGGGTTTGAATATGAGGAGATGAATGTAGGCAGTGAATGACATTAGGCCAAAGCTCAGTCACCGATCTACAATTTATTGGTGGCGAATATGCGCGATTCCTTTGCGTACTTTTGGTTATTAGAGGGTTACAGGGATGGATGGATTGTGAGGTGGGTGTATGTGGTGGGAGGTCATTAATGTTTTATAACAACAGTTTCATAGCAAGACTAAATTGTCACTGAATTGTTATGATTAGGTTGTGTTGCAAACACTTTGTTGTGGTATCTGATGTGCTTTTATAAATCTGGATGTGTTAATGTTAGAATGTTGAAAGGTAATTTATGTATTATACTAGGTTATGATGCAAACATCTTTGATGTTCTTTAACTGATTAAGCTTTAATTGCAATTTTGCAATTTACTTGCGATTGGAAAATTTATAATTTAATTGCTAATAATTTTATTGTAAATTTTTGATTTTTTTTTTTTCTTCTCTCTCTGTGCAGGCTTGGTGAACTTTGATAATGCATGCTTACAAATATTTAAGCTGGATATAATTTGGGTGAAAAAAAACTTTCTTCAAAGACAACAAAAGAGGATTTATCTTCACCTTTAGTTCTGTTTTATTAGAAGCACATGACTGAAACAAAGCGAGCATCCTTTTATCTTGTGTCTGCTTTTGATTTTCTATTGTATACAAGGCTGACCATAACCTTAATTGGGTTTGACATTTGTTTGTGTGTAATTTTTTGTTTTTGCTTTTTAGTTCCTTTTTGAGTTTTTTCTTTTTTGTTCCTTTGCAAAGAAATGCTTTACTTGAAAAAGTACTTCACAGAGGGTCTTATTCAGTTCACTATCCTCCTGAGTCTAATTGGGGTACGGCTGGACTTGGACACTTATTTAAACAATCAGCTCCCCCCACTCCGTGAGATCATCCTGGGCCCCAGCTCGGCCTACACCCAGACGCAGTTCCACAATCTCCGTAACACCCTGGACGGCTATGGCATCCATCCTAAAAGTGTGGACCTGGACCATTTTTTCACCACTCGTCGGCTTCTGAACCAGGTGCGCTCCCTGGATCATCTGCGTGTGCCCAGCACTGAGCTGAGTGCCTGGCTGGTGCATCGTGACCCTGAGACTGTGGTTTCGGCAACCAGTCAGTCCGGCCCCAGCATTGCCCTGGACAATGGGGGCAGCCTGGAGGACGTGAACAACTCCGAAGCCTCGGCCATGAGAGGGGCTGGCAGTGCTTCTGAGACCACTTACAGCCTCAGCGGAGAGGACAGCCTGGGAGCCGTGGCCCCTGAGGACAGTCAGGAGCAAGGGGAGAGAGAGAGCAGTGACGACCTCTCCAAAGAGGTACAGTAGCTGTGTGTTTTTAGCTTAGCCTACTGTAATTAGATTGACATTCGTTCGTATTTGATTTCCTCAAAGAGAGAACCGTGTTATGCTATTATCTCTTGCCATTAGATTAAGCATATTGCATAGTGGCGATTAAGAGCGTTGTATGTGAGCTAGTAGTATTCTTACTCTACATTATGAGCCTTACAATAGTGGCTGGACAGGGTGTGGTCTCATCGATAGAGCTGTCTATCTCTTAAAACTAGGTAGCTGTGCTAATGTTAATTAATTATTTTTTTATTATAATAGTAATGTTGGTATTACATTTTCAAGCAATATCACGGCTTGACATGTGGTACAAATAGTGCACTGAATCAAATAGATATTGTAGTAGTTAGGGATGGGTCACGATTTTTGAATATTCGATTAGTTGATTTAATTATAGAATATCGAATAGGTTGTGCGATTATTGTCTTAAAAATGTCCTCATGTTTTCCGTGCTGATGCGGTGGTGTCGCGTTCATGTGGCACTGCCAATAACGCACCTAAAAACAGTCAAAGACAACAGAAGAACACATTGTCTCACGCGCACACTGTAGACTTGAGTGGCGTAGGGCTGTGCAAAAAATCGAATGCGATTTTCATGCGCATCTCGTCAGTAATCGCCTGCGATTTTGAACGCGATTTTGTGTAGCTTGTAGATTTACTTCTAATCACAGGATTGGCTTTACTGACGAGATGCGCATGAAAATCGCATTCGATTTTTTGCACAGCCCTAGCGTGGCATAAAAAAAAAGACTTGCGTAGCATATAATAGTTACAGTAACTTGGGACGATGTCAAATAAGAGCTCTGTGCGGACCACAAGCACCTCCAACTGGGTTAGAGATGTGGCTGAATTAGTGCTGGGTGGTATACCGGTTCATACCGAATACCGGTTTTTATTTTTGTTATGATATGAATTTTGAAAATGAATCCATATTCATAAAGGCGAGGAAAACAAATAACGCGTTCTACGGAGCCACTAAAGGGACATGGTTAGCAGCTTGCTAGCGGTAGCCTGTTACATTACAGTAGGGGTGCACGATATATCGAAATATCGCAAATGTAAATATCGCAAGGGCCTGCGATATCTGAATCATTTTAATAATAGGCTACTTAAATCAAAACGTTGCAAAAGGTCAAAGTTTTAGTTCGTCGCATATAGCAGAGAATTGCTTGACGTTAAAAAGAGTTATTAAGTGCAATAAGTTGCAGAAAACAACTCTTTGCCGTGACACACAGAGAGACGCGTTTCAGATGGCGCGCGAACACCGAGTTGATTCGTCTTTCACATCTCTTCGTGTTTGAACAGACACATACACACAGAATTATGTCAATAGTACCCATCTCGACGATCATTCTCGTAAACGCAGTCAGTTATGTTTTAAATTAATGTAAACAGCTGAGAAAGAAATCGGATGTGTATCATTAGTCGGATTTAAAGGGACAGCAGCCTATAAATACGTGCTGCGGAATGTCACTAATGTTCACAAAACAATAAAACGGCTATAACAAAAATTAATCTAAATTTAATTCATACAGTGAACACTATGCAGTGTTATTTTACACTTAATTATTACATTTCTGTATCTGAATACTACTGTTTATTTTATCTGTGCTTGTAACTTGTGTATTTATTTTTTTTAAATTTTTTTTTTTACTGACTGTTCACTTGCCTTTAATCATGTTTGAACTTTCTCAGACTATAGGTTTTGCTGTGGTATATGAAGAAGTACTTAAAGTGTATGGAAAGCAAAGTTACAATGATATAAAATTAGTGTCATGAATTTTTTTTGCTTGTATGTTCACATTGATGTTAAATTACATTTTCTGATTTGTGACATTACTTTTTATGTAATGCTAAAACACTGCTGTCACTTTCAGAAGTTATAGTGATTGTTTATTTTCCAAGAAAGAATGTGAAACAAATTGGCTATATAATTTTCATTTTTAAATATTTTAAAATATAATTGAAATTGATTTTTCACACTTTAAGCAATATCGTATCACATATCGAATATTGCATTTTTTAACAAGGTATCGCATATCGCATTTTTCTTCAAAATCGCACAGCCCTACATTACAGTACATAACATTTCACTTACCACATAAACAGAGTAAGGAGAGATGACTGATAGGATGATGGCAAATGATTTGCAGATCCTGAGCAGCACTGACATACTGACAAATAGTGCTGGGTGGTATGACCAAAAATTTATATCATGGTATTTTTCAAAATTATACCGGTTTCACGGTACATGAGGTATTTTTTTTTCATGCATGACCGGGTGTTAACCATATTTTCTACTGATTGCGAGAGGAAATACTGCAGTCTATTGACTTAGTATGCCCTATTTTACTGTCATGATGATTGAATATTGTCAAAAAATACCACACTAAATAGTGACTAAACACGACCCCTTTTAATACATGTTAACCAGGAGTCACTCTCATTTATAATCGCGGCATCGTCTGATAAAATCAACATGCATCTACACTAAAGAGCGGCTATGCGGTTGTTTTGGCTATATTACTTTTTTGTCTCATGCAGCGCACTGCCTGCCTCTGAGTAACAAACTTACAAAAAAAAAAAAACACATTGCATGTGATATTAACAGACGAACTACGCTCAAATTTATAATTCCAAACAATCAGTAAGCGACAGGTGCTAGGAAATGCTGTTTTGTACTCATTTATTGACGAGTCGGCTGCAGCCGAGAGAGCTCCGGGAAAGTCAGACCTCGCGTTCGCGGGACAGCACTGGCGAAATCTTCCAACTGAACCAACTGAACCATTTATCCAAAAAAGTCGCTAGGTTTGTCAGTATGAATATTCTATGGAAAAAAGCCGCTAAAAGGGTCTGAAAGTT